GAAATTGGACTACCTGAACTACTTTGAGATTGTTTCAAAGGTATGTTTGCCTCTTTTTTTTCTTTTTTCTTTTTTTTTTTTTTTTTTTTTTTTTTGGTGTTGGTTTGGGCAATGGTTTGCTCACCAGCTGTTTGATATTATGTCTGCGCAAGTTTAGTGCTCACTTTTGGGTTAGTTTTTCTTGGAAAAGTTGCAGTTGACATTCTATTAAAGTTTTCTTCAAATGATCCATCTTTCATCAAGAACAGATTTCAACAATTCCAAAGATTTGACAAGCAATAATCTAGAATTCTACGTGGCAGTGGAATGACTGAAACATTTATGAAAATGTTAAGATAATTTGTAAGAGATTGGTCAAATTTGGTGTGCTAGATTTCCGTGTGTCTGTGAGCAATAGATGTCAATTCAGATGGTGTCTAATTATAATAACAATAAGGTCTTTTGGTAGAATAATAACAAGGTCTTTAGAAAATGTTAGAGCACTTTGAAAAAGTATGTGAGATGAACAGACCCGGCACTGTTGTTCATTACTTTATTCAAGGAGGTTGAAGAGGCAATGCTTACATACCCTCATTTTGATGAAAATAGAGGAATTGGCAAGTTCGGGAACGAGCAAAGGAATGATATCATTAACTTTTCTCTTACTTCTTGGTTCTTGTTTGCAGATTGGCTTTTCAGCATACACCATAACTCCACCAAAATCTATCAAATATCCGGAAGCTATAATCTCCAATGGTAGCAAGTTTCAACTGGGATTCTTCAGCCCTGCTAATTCTACTGATCTTTATGTGGGAATATGGTACAACGGTATTGACCCTGTAAAAGGCATCATATGGGTAGCCAACAGGCAGAAGCCACTGAAGGACTCCTCCGGAAGTCTGATGATATCTGAGGATGGCAATCTTGTAGTTGTGAATGGGCAGAAGGAGGTTCTTTGGACAACCGAGCTTGAAGAGAGAACCAGAATTCTCGAAATGGCAATGGGTAAAATCCTTGCTTGCCTGATCCCTGACGACCCCCTGATTCCTTTATTGAACAGGGATGCACAACCAGCTGCGGTTGTTGCAACTCGAAACTCCCCTACCCTAAGCAACATAATAGTGCCGACCAGGCCAAGGGGAAGTGGGAAGCTAAATATCGAGCCCAGGTCGTCCAAACATAATGAAGAACTGATGAGAAAGAACGCAGACCTTGAAAGACAGCTGCGAGACGTGCAAAAGTCTATTGACGAGCTGAGAAGTCCCAGGTCGCATCAACATACTCTGGATTTGGATAGTGCACCACTAAACTTATCCATCATAGCAGAGCCGTATCAAGAGGGATTCAAAATTCCCCACCTGGAGACATATGATGGCTCGGGTGACCCTGATGAACATCTGCACACCTATCAAGCCATCATGAGAATCCAAATTGCCAATGATGCCATGATGTGCAAAGTGTTCCCAGCAACACTCAAGTCAACAGCCAGGAGATTGTATCACAAACTCCCCAAACATTCCATAGACTCATATTCCCAGCTCGCCAAGCTATTCTCCAACAAATTTGCGAGCCAAAGGGAGATTAAACGCATGGCAACCGAGCTGATGCAAGTTCATCAGAAAGAAGGGGAATCTTTGAGGGACTACATGCAGCGATTCAACAAGGCCACTTTAGACATTGACAATGTCCTAGATACCATCTGCTTGTCAGCCTTGTTGCATGGTTTGAAGCGTGGTCGATTCCTAGATGACTTACTAGAAAACCCACCGAAGACGTGGAATGAAGTGAATGATAGGTCGGCCAGCTTCATACTGTCAGAAGACTTCCAGTCGTCCAAGCGGCGAGCTGACGATAAGCAGAGCAAAGGCTAGGAACAACCACCAAGAAGAGAGGAAAAGAAAAAGCAGAAGATCAATGAGCAATGGGGGAAGCCAGCGGAATTCCCGAAATATGCCAACTACATCCCTCTGGCCTTGCCGAGGTCTCAAATCCTGGCACAAATCCAGCATTGGGTTAGGAGACCCCTGCCACCATTGCATGATTCCCTAAGGGCGGACAAGAGCAAACATTGTGATTACCATCATGTGTACGGTCACAATACAGAGGATTGTCAACACTTAAAGGACGAGCTGGAGTTCTTGGCTCGCAATGGGAAGCTAGAAGGATATGTTCAGAAGCCCCACGCCCAGCAACCCACTCAAACTCATTTTGTACAGGGGTATGACCGACCTCAAGGGCAGAGGTACCAGCTCGGCGGGGCATAGGATGTATATCAGGATAACCAGTATCCTTTTGAGTAGGGTAGGGCGTACAGAGGGCGTCCGTTCAACAGCAGGGGACAGGGACAGAGAACTGCCGCCCAGAACCAAAAAGATAGGAAAGGGGTAGGTTATGCTGGGATACCTCCGCCCTCGGGTATAATAAATATGATATCAGGTGGTGTTCACTCCGGAGGCCAAAGCGCCTAAGGTCGAAAAGCCTATGCACGTCAGGTGATGACAGTTAACAAAAACAAGCCTTTGAAACGCCCGTTTGAAGAAGCAGAATGGGAAAATGCACCCATCACATTTAGCCCGGTAGACTATAAGCGAGTAAAAGGAGAGCCCAACGATATGATGCCACATGCATATCCTTTCGTGGCAACAGTTCATATAGGCAACCATAACGTCAACAAGGTCTTCATTGATACGGGCAGCTCGCCGGATATCCTGTACTAGAGTTACTTTCAAAAAATGCAGCTGAATCCGAGCTCATTGCAGAAACACGAAGGGCCTATATATGGGTTTGACAATCAGCCCGTCCCGGTTGAAGGAGTCATTACCCTTCCCATTTATGTGGGCTCGGAACCACGCTTCAGGATGGCTTCCGTCACCTTCCTGGTCGTCAAGATGGAATCAGCTTTCAATGCTATATTAGGAAGAGCCACCCTGTGCGAGCTGAAGGCTGTTATCTCTCAACCCCATCTCTGTATGAAATTCCCAACTCCTCAGGGGGTAGAAGTACTTAAAGGAAACCAGAAAATGGCCAGAGCCTCCTATCAAGATACGTTCAAGAAGGTTGAGCTCGCTGCAACACCGGCATGTTTTGAGAATCATAGGCCAACTCAGCTCGGTCAGCAGACAATGAGCATATCAGACATTAAGTATTGACCTGAGGGTGTCGAGCAGAAGGCAGAACCAGTGGAGCCGGTAGAAACAGTCCCTCTAAACCCTGATGTGCGGGAAAGGACGGTTAAGATCGGCACCAAACTCATAGAAGAGGAATGGGCAGAGCTTCTAGAGTTTTTGAGGGTTAATCAGGATGTGTTTGCGTGGACTGCGGATGAAATGCCTGGCATCCCAGCGGAGTTGACGGTCTACAAGCTCAGCACAGACCCCACCAGAAAGCCGGTGGTTCAGAAGCGTCGCCTTTTTGGCCCTAAGAAGCAAGCTGCCATAGACGAAGAAATACAAAAGTTGCTACAGGCAGGCTTCATCAGAAGAGTGGAATACTCTGAGTGGGTGTCTAATCCTGTGCTAGTTAAAAAACCGAATGGCAAGTGGAGGATGTGTATTGATTTCACCAATTTGAATGAGGCGTGTCCAAAAGACCCTCATCCCTTGCCAAATGTTGAGAAGTTAGTAGAGCGGGCAGCCGGACACGAACGAATGAGCTTTCTTGATTCCAGCTCGGTTATCACCAGGTCCAGTTGTTGTTAGACAACCAGGAGAAAACAGCTTTTTACGCTGGTGATGCAATCTACTGCTATGTGATGATGCCGTTTGGCCTGAAGAATGCTGGTGCTACATATCAGAAACTGGTGCAAATCATCTTTAAGCTCCAGATTGGCAGAAACATAGAAGTATATGTGGATGACATGATAGTCACCAGTACACGAGCTGAAGATCACATAGGCGACCTGAGCGAGACTTTTCAAAACCTGCGCCGAGCTCAAATGAAACTAAATCCCCTGAAATGCACATTTGTTGTAGAGTTAGGAAAATTCCTAGGGTACGTGGTATCCAAGAAAGGAATTGAAGTAAATCCAGAGAAGGTTCAGGCCGTTCAGCAGATGGAGCCGCCCAGGATTGTCAAAGATGTGCAGTGTTTGACGGGCCGTGTAGCTGCGCTACATAGGTTCATAGCTAGGTCGGCAGACAGATGCCTCCCATTCTTCAAAGCCCTACGAGAACACAAAAACTTTCAATGGACCGATGAGTATCAGAGGGCGTTTGACAAGCTCAAACAATATCTGGCATCAGCACCTCTGTTATCCAAGCCTATGGAAGGGGAGAGTTTATACATGTACCTGGGGGTTATAGAAAAGGCAGTGAGCTCAGTTTTGCTCAGGGAGGAGAATAAGAATCAGAAGCCTATCTGCTATGTGAGCAAGGTTTTACAAGGTGCCGTGTAGAACTACCCACTAGTAGAAAAGGGTGCTTTTACTTTGGTCTGCACAGCTCGTAAGCTGAGAGCTTACTTTCAGTTTCATCAAATTGTTGTCTATACTGATTTCCCGATGAGGAAGATATTGCAGAAGCCAGAACTCTCGGGTTGGCTTATCGGATGGAGCGTCGAGCTGAGTAAGTACAACCTCAAATTTCAGTCGCGTATGACTATAAAAGGCCAGGCTGTGGCAAATTTTTTGGTGGAATGCGTCTCGATGACTGTGAAAGAAAAGGCATCTGAACACCCAGTCTGGGTTTTGTATGTTGATGGAGCTGCTAACGTGGAAGGATCGGGTGTCGGGGCTGTGTTAGTAGGCCCGGATGGCTTTAAATTCGAACACGCGCTGAGGTTCAAGTTTCAGACAACCAACAATGCTGCAGAATATGAAGCCCTCATTTATGGTCTGAAACTGGCGGCCGAGCTGAAGGTACAAAACATCCAAGTCTTCAGCGACTCTTAGCTTGTTGTGGGCTAGGTGAATGGCAGTTGTGAAATCAGGGATCCGCAGCTTAGTCGTTATGCTTCTGTGGTCAACAAATTGAAGTCAGGATTTGTCTCCTTCCAAATCGACAAAATACCAAGAGCAGATAACCACCGAGCTGACGAGCTGTCAAAGCTGGCCTCCTTGTAGGATTTTAACCCTCAGAGGTCAACCCTTGTCGAAGTGCTTGACGCACCGAGCTACATTGATTTCACAGTCGAGTGTCAACTGCTAAGCACAGATCCCTCTTCACCGAGCTGGACCACCCAGCTCATAAATTATCTGCAAAGTGGCAAGCTGCCTGAAGACCCATCCACTGCAAAGTTGATTAAACATAGGGCAACTCATTTCACTCTGTTAGAAAATCGGCTCTACAAACGAGCAGCTTCTATGCCCCTATTACGCTGCCTTACTCCTTATGAAGCTGAATATGCCTTGAGGGAAGTTCATGAAGGAGTATGTGGCACGTACATCGATGGCAGGACTTTAGCTCGGAAACTCCTGAGGCACGGTTATTACTGGCCCACCATGGTTGAGGATGCATAGAACTATGTCAAAAAGTGCCCGACCTGCCAGTTCAATGCTGATGATATCCATATGCCAAGTATCCGAGCTCGTTCTAAAGTTTGTGCAAACTTTGTGTTTGTCTATAAACTGAGCACAAGTATCTTTGTTGAAACAGGAGAAATGCTCTCATCACTCTCATCTCCTTGGCCTTTTGCTCAATGAGGAGTCGACCTGCTCGGCCCTTTCGTGAAAGGCAAAGGAGGATGCATTTACCTTGTTGTCATGGTGGATTATTTCACCAAGTGGATAGAAGCTAAACCATTGTCCACGACAACAGAAAAGAAAATCGAAGAATTCTTGTTCAATTCAATATTGTGCAGGTATTCTTTGCGGACTCAAGTCATTAATACGTCGTATGCAAATATAATTTGTTGCTCAGCTCGGTCATCTGTGTGCAGGTTCGGTATACCTAAGCGGATCATTGCTGACAATGGGTCGCAGTTCCAAGCAGCAGCACTAAGGTCGTTTTGTAATGACTACGGCATTGAGCTCGCCTTGACGTCCGTGTATACTCCACAGTCAAATGGGCAAGCCGAGTCCGCCAATAAAATCGTCTTGCGAGGCCTCAAGACGCATGTTTTGGCTGCACATACTAATTGGGTTGACGAGCTCAATAAAGTCCTTTGGTCATGTCGCACTACACCCAGCTCGGCCACAGGTGAAACCCCGTTTAGCCTGGCGTATGGAGCTAAGGCCGTCATCCCTGTTGAGGTCGGATTACCATCTGATAGATCAGATCGTCATAACGATCATAATAATGAGCAACTCTTAAGAGAGAACTTAGACCTTGTGGAAGAAGTCAGGGAGACATCTCGAATAAGAAACATGGCGCATCAAAGTCGTGTTGCAAAATTTTATAATAAGCGAGTTCGAGCTCGTCAGTTTCGGGTTGGCGATCTAGTTCTATGCAAAGCTGGATTAACTAATACTTATTCACACATGGGTAAGCTCGCTCCTAATTGGGAAGGCCCCTATATGGTTGTTCGAATTAAACGACCTGGGTCCTACGTGTTAGTAGATATACAAGGACGCCAGTTGCCCTACGTTTGGAATATACACAATTTTAGAAGATTTTACAATTAATGTATGTGTTATTAACAAATTTGTTCGTGAAAATGTAAACTGCACATGCAATACAACAAAGAAGAACAGTTCGATATAATTTTCAATTTTGTATTTCTTTTCAAAACAATTACACATTTCAGTACAAGATCGCGATACAATTGTTTGTGAAAAGAAACAAAAAATACAAAGGAACAAAAAAAAAAAAAAGTCCTAAGTCTAGTCATCCGTCAAATCGACGGGCATGGACGCGTCAGCTACAAGCGAAGAGGAGCGAGCTGGTGGCGAGCGAGCAGCGACCTCCAGAGCTTGTGTAATAACGAGTGACCGAGCTGGCACCACGGCGGGCTGAGAGTTTGGTGGAGTGCTGGATGGCTCCTACTCAGCAACGGGAGCCCCTTCCACCCATCCGTCGAAGGAAGGCAACCCCACTAGGTCCTCCCCCTCTTCTAAGACTGAGGGAGGCCAGACAGGAACTCCCTCCTCGTTGAGATCCCATCTCAACCGCACCGTTGTGTCAGCCGGGGGAGCAAGGCTCTTACCCTGCTCGTCAATATCTTCCCCATCGAAGAACGCTAGCTCGCGGATGGGGAAGTCCGGGCGGTGGTGCAGCACCTTACCATGGATCTCGTTGTAGATCTCAGTGGTCATGTTAGCAGACGCCACCGCCACTGCGTCTTGGAACGTGGACGAGCCGACCAGCCACTCTGCCCCTTGAGCTCGAGCAATACCAACAGAGCGCGCATGGGATGCCTTCAATTTGTTCAGCGCCTCTTCGGTAACGCTGAGGTTCTTGTCAGCCTCAGCGACCTGGAACCTTAGGGAACCCAGCTCGTTCTGAGCACGGTCCCTTTCGGCCTCAGCCCTCTTAGCCCGTTCTTCAACCCGGGCGGCCTCCTCCTTTGCCGCTTGAATCCCGCCTTCTCTTTCGGCACGGGCTCGCTTTAGCTCCTCCCTGAGCTCATCAATCTTATTTGCGAGCTCTTCTGCTCTACTCTCCGCTGCAGCTGCTCGGTTGGCCATTTCAGAGCCTTGCAGACGGTTGACATCGTCCACAAGGCTAGCTTTTTCTGTGGCCAACTGTTTGCAGTTGGCGCTGAGCTCGTTATTCTAAGAGCAAGCCGCCTGCTCGCTCTCGAACATCGCAACCACGTAGCTGAACGCCTGCCAGACAGCATCAGTTGTTAGTCTATCAGATGAAATAGCAGAATAATCGCACAACTAATAGCCGTAGATAAAGGGATACTCACGTCCATTAGCTTGATCATGGCGACCTGCCCGCCATGCTGTTGCACGTAGCTCTTTGCCCGTTGCCGATCCACCGGTGGCACGAAGCTGTGCATGCCCTGCATCATGGCGGGCTGGCACTCTGGCTTCACGTAGCTGAAGCCGTCAAGATATGCGATCCTAGGCGCCGACACTGAGGCCGAGGCAGATGCAGGCTCTGCTGCTGCTCGTGCCGTGGCAGAAGGCGTGTTTGATGAGCGCGCTGCCGCCAGTTAAGCCGCTTGTGCCGGCTGAGTCCCACCACTTGTTCTGCGTCGTGGAGGGGGACGTCATCTTTGCTGTCCGTCTCCTCGCGCGCCCGCCGCCGTGCACTAGGGGCTGCAGTGTCAGCCCGTTGATCGGCGCGAGGCCTGGACGCCGAGCTCGATCCACGGTGTGACGAGCTGCGTGATAGTGGTGCTGGGGGTGGTCGCTTGTCAAACCGTGTCTGTCTATGCGAGGTGCTGCCCACTCCGCAACCTCGTGAGCCTTGGGCTCGTTGACGTTGGCGTTCGAGAATGCTGCTCATTTCTCCTGCACAAACAAATACATAAGACTCAGCTCGGCTAGAATTCAAAATACCTTCAATGAACAGGTTTGCCACGTCGACAAACCCGAACACAGCGAGCTGCTCCGAGGTAACCAGGGCGTCCAGGTTTATCAAGTTTTCCCCCCTTGCGTATTCCAGCAGCCAATTTTTTATATCTGTGTCCCGAGGCAACAGCTGGGGATAATTGACGTGTGCATTGGGCACACGCCATTCGGATAGCCGACCAGCGAGGTCGTTGTTTATTCGTTCTGTCCGTGTATCATGAACGAAGATGAACTGCCTCTTCCACCTCGCCACTTTGTTCCTTATGTTTTTGAACAGCTGGCTCTTCTCTCTTCCGGAGAGGTAATACCACTTTGCGCCTCTAGAGTTGGGACATAGCCGGCATTGAAACAGCGACCTGAACACGATCACCTTGGTCGGTACCTCTAATCACGCACACAACAGCATAAAGCCAATGATGAACCTTATACTGTTGGGCATCAGCTGTGTTAGTGCCAGCTCGTAATCCGCCAGCAGGTCGAACACCAATCCGGGCAGGGGAAACCGCAGGCCGGCGTCAAAGTGATCCACATACACTGGTATCCAGCCCGTCTGTGACACCGTGCAAGCCCTCTCATTAGGTGCGCCAGTTCGTAGCAATATGGTCAGGGGAATGTGGTACGCCCTCACCATATCCTCCAATTTCTTGTACCCACTTATTGTGGGCGCACTGTCTGCTACTTCATGATGCAGTGCCGCCCTGAACCTGAATCCAGCGGGCAGATCCTTTGGCACCTTTTGTAGGTTGCTCAACTTGCTCGTGATCGTCCTGCTCTCCCACTCTCCAATCACAGGCCGATTTGAGACATTGCTAACCACATTCCCCGTCTCTTCCTTGCCGCTCGGTGTTTCTTCAGATGACTAGCTGCTCGACGGTGAACTGTGGTGGTCGCCACCGTTATCCCTAGTGTCGGAACTAGTGCTGCTCCCAGGCGTCATTGTTTCCGGCAAGTCCTGCAACGCCGGCGGCACTATCATCGTGATAGGCTCTACAGATATAACCCCCTCTTCTTCTCCCTCTATGCCCTGGTTACCTCATGGGTCCCTAAGTCCTCTAAACGAATCCAGTATACCTGAAGTTGATGTGTAACTGTAGTCTGTGTGGTCTGGTGCTTTGTTCTTCAAGCTAAAGTGCTTCGCTGCAGAGAGTTTCAGAAGATTTCAAGTAAACAATGAAATGAAAATGGAAACGGGAACGGTTATGCAAAGAGAGATATGGCAGTCTTAATTGCCGTACGCGTGTCTTTGACGCGCCAGTTAGCGTCCCGCACGTGGCATGCGTTTAACCCCTTGTGTGTAGCGTGCGTCGGCTTTAGCTGTCACGTCCCCTCAAATGCCGAGCCAACATTTATGGCGGGGAAGGCAGAGAGATTCGAGGAGATCAATCGTATCTCCCCAGAGATTTGGTTGATTGGGAAAAATCCACAAGATTCAGGTCGCAACGGTCCACATGTACCTTCTCCCGTCACACCAGCTTGCCACTATGACCAGGTTTACCAGGTCGTCACGAACATGACAGTTTGTTCACAATCATAGATCGTTTGCTAAAATTCCCCAATACTCAGCTCGTAACGGGTTGGTCTATCCCTTCTCCCATCCATTCCAACTCGTCAGGACGACCACATTTATCAGGTCGTTCCAAGACTGGCAGCTCGTGAAAGATCACAGACCTTTTCACAGATCAATGGATATCGGAGATTGCTCCATTTAACCCCACTGCACATGCGAGCTGATAAGCCTCATCCGGTCGCTTCAGCACCTTCAATAATAGTCATGGATCACCTCGTCACACGTTCTCTTGCGCTTGCGTTAACGTGGACGAGCTCGCTGAAATCGCGAATAGCACCTTGTGTACATGCATATTCACTGGCGAGCTCATCTTTTGTAAGCCACTTCAGCTCGCCGGCACACTTTCAGGCTTATGAGCTCGCCTCTTTTCATGCCACCATTCAGCTCGACCATCATCGAGGTCGGCCGCGAGCTGTTAAGGCTGTCCGTCATAGTCACCAGCTAGGGCGTTGACCCACGGGCACATCTATCCCAGTTCGTCAACCGAACACCCGAGGGGGGGGAGTAATGTTGGAATAGGCCCAACAAGCCCAACACCCAAATAGGGCTGTGCATAACGGGCCTAGGTTGCCACCCATTAGCCCAAGCTGAAGGAGCATCAGTATAAGCATACCCACGTGACCAGCACCACGTGGGCCAATGGGATGCTCACACGTGCAGATGTATGTCAGCACCAAGGGGCTATAAATACCCCTCAACTACCTCCGATGAAGGTAATTAATCTCTACGCTTCTCTCTCTGCAATTACTCCTTGAGAGCATCTCTCTCTGAAATATTGAGTATTGCTGACTTGAGCGTCGGAGTGTCTTCCCGAGGAAACAACCTCGGGATTTTCAGGTGTGGAAGCAGCTGAGGGTTTCAATAGTGGTGGACTGCGAAGCTGCCCAAACAGTCATGACACTGATAAAATCGATAAAAATTATTATATCGTTAGAATGTATAAATTTTGCTGCCGAAATTCTCTCAACTGCTGAAGAAATGAAGGAATTCATCAACCTCCTTCATTTGTTTTCTTTTCTTTTCTTCATTTTTTTTTTTTTTTTTTTTGTGTTGGTTTGGGCAATGGTTTGCTCACCAGCTGTTTGATATTATGTCTGTGTAAGTTTCATGCTCACTTTTGGGTTGGTTTTTCTTGGAAAAGTTGCGGTTGACATTCTATTACAGTTTTCGTCAAATGATCCATCTTTCATCAAGAACAGATGTCAAAATTCAAAAGATTTGACAAGCAATAATCTAGAATTCTACGTGGCAGTGGAATGACTGAAACATTTATGAAAATGTTAAGATAATTTGTACCAGATTGGTCAAATTTGGTGTGCTAGATTTCCGTGTGAGCAATAGATGTGAATTCAGATGGTGTCTAATTATAATAATACCAAGGTCTTTTGGTACAATAATAATAAGGTCTTTAGAAAATGTCAGAGCACTTCGAAAAAGTATGTGAGATGAACTGACCCGGCACTGCTGTTCATTACTTTATTCAAGGAGGTTGAAGAGGCAATGCTTACATACCCTCATTTTGATGAAAATAGAGGAATTGTCAAGTTCGGGAACGAGCAAAGGAATGATATCATTAACTTTTCTCTTACTTCTTGGTTCTTGTTTGCAGATTGGCTTTTCAGCAGACACCATAACTCCATCAAAATCTATCAAATATCCGGAAGCTATAATCTCCAATGGTAGCAAGTTTCAACTGGGATTCTTCAGCCCTGCTAGTTCTACTGATCTTTATGTGGGAATATGGTACAACGGTATTGACCCTGTAAAAGGCATCATATGGGTAGCCAACAGGCAGACGCCACTGAAGGACTCCTCCGGAAGTCTGATGATATCTGAGGATGGCAATCTTGTAGTTGTGAATGGGCAGAAGGAGGTTCTTTGGTCATCCAATGTTGAAAAGCTGACAGGTAATAATACAATTGCTAAGCTTCTAGACTTAGGAAACCTGGTCTTGCAAGATAAAACCACTGGCATGAACATGTGGGAGAGTTTCCAACAACCTTCTAATGTTTTTGTACCAGCAATGAAGCTCGGTGTAAATTTAAGAACTGGTGAGAAAATCCAGCTAACATCGTGGAAAAGCCCTTCTGATCCATCTGTTGGTAATTTCTCTGTCGGGTTCGAGCCTTTCGACATACCTCAAGTCTTCGTGTGGAAAAATTCTCAGCCATATTGGCGGAGTGGCCAGTGGAATGGTCGGGTATTTGTTGGAATGCCAAATATGAACTATTCCTATCTTTATGGGTTTAGCCTTGAAACTGATAAAGAAGAAGAAACCTTTTATGTTTCTTATGCTCTTGATACTGATAAATACTTGTTAGACCTTTTCATGGGTCCAGAAGGAATATCAATTGAACGATTTTGGAATTGGACTGATTACTGGGAAGACTATAGGATTGTATGGTCTAATCCACAAAACGAATGTGATGTTTATGGCAAGTGTGGGCCATTTGGAAGTTGTGATTCTCAGAAACCAACAATTTGCAGCTGTTTGAGAGGGTTTGAACCCAAGAATAGAGAGGAATGGAACAG